TGTTCAAGCGGTGACGTCCAAGTCTTGAGGACGGTCAAAAATTGGGTGTCTACAAACCGTAGCCCGATTCAATTTCTGGTAATCAATGCAAAGTCTCACAGCCCCCATCTTTCTTCTTAGCAAAGAGGGCCGGTGCTCCTCACGGCAAAGTACTAGGGCGAACAAAGCCCTTATCTAGCAACTCCTGGAGTTGAATCTTCAACTCACTCAACTCGGCTGGGGCAAAACGATACGGTGCCATAGAAATCGGTGTCGTGCCGGGCACTAAATCAATAGAAAATTCCACCTCTCGATGGGATGGCAAACTAACAAGATCCTCGAGAAAGACGTCCGAGTACTCACAAACCACTCTAGGTAACTCAATCTGGATCTCGTCACACTCACTACTCATAAAGCTGGCAAGAAGACCACTAAGCTCACTCCGCCCTCGCGGATCATATACCGGTGGCAAAACACTACCAACCCAATCCCCCAAGAAATGAAAACAATCCCCGCTCAAGGTACATACAGTGACCCTCTGGCGGTAGCAATCAATAACAGCCCGGTATGACAATATCCAGTCCATACCCAAAATTACATCAAAACCCGACATAGCTATAACTACAAAAGAAAATGGAAGCTGGCGGTCGGCGACCTCAATATCACAACCTCTACACCCCTGCTTCAAAATCAACTCACCCCCAATAGGTGATACAACACAAATAGGAGATGCTAACTGTGCCAACTCCAATCCCAAAACATATGCAAATGTAGTAGATATAAAGGAATGGGATACACCCATATCAATCAACACATTAGCAACCGAGTTGCAAAACAAAAAGGTACCTCTCACAACAGATGGAGCCGGTACAAGATCCTGCGCGGTAACAGCATACACACGCCCCGAAGGTCTCTGATCTACCTGCTCACCTCTCGGAGCATAAGTCTGCTGTACAGACTGAGACGATGAGGCTTCCTGATTGGCCCTCGAGGCCTGAACTGACTGAGCTGGCTGATGGCTCTGAGTTTGCCTCGAACCAGATGCACCAGATGTGCCACTCAACTGTGGGCAAAACCTCTTCAGGTGCCCCGCCTGACCACACTGGTAACAAGAAATCGGCTGACCTCTGCCCTGACTCTGGCTCTAAGGACGAGCCGAAGATGAACCTGCTCTCTGCCCTCCTCCCCTCTGCGGGCAAGCTGGAGACTTGTGGCCCAGCTGACCACATTTGTAACAAGTAACGTCTCCCTAACTGCCTCTCCCAGAACCTGAACTCGGCACTGGGAAGATCTCACAAACGCACCCTGGGACTGTTGAGGGTTAAAACCCCTCTGTCTCCTACCATCCCCCTGGCCATCCTGACTCCTCTTGGAGCCCCTCAACCTCTCCTCCTCCTCGTGCATAATAATTTCCATATGGGCCGCAGCATCCACAAGGTGTCCATACTCTCGATTCATGAACCCAGCAACCCTAACCTTGAGTCCGTGCCTCAACTTCCTTTCGAACTCCAGACAACGGCGTTCTTCAGACGCCACTAGCTCAGGTGTAAACCTAGACAAACTGGTAAATGCGGCCTCAAACTCGGCCACTGATGAACTCAGCTGCTTGAGCTGACAGAATTGATCTCTCAATTTCTCCCTGACAGCGGGAGACAAAAACTTCTCCTGGAAGGCGTCAACGAAAGCCTCCCAAGTCCCACCAATACGACCCCGCACAAACTTCCACCACTGGCCCGCGTCTCCTTTTAGCTGGAAAGACGCCAAGGTCACCTTCAAAGCCCTATCTTCGATGTCAAGCATCTCAAACGTCTTCGTCATCTGCTCAAGCCGCTCATCAGCCTTAAGTGGCTATTTCGGATCACCTAGAAACTCATCTGGATTGAACCGGAAAAACTCCCTCTTCAGAAAGGAAGGCCCTGCCTCAGTAACATGGGCTTGGACTTGATTATCAGCTCTGAGAATGTCCATGGATTCCCTCAATGCTCCTGCCATCTCGCGGGCTAAGGCGCCCATGGCCTGCTGACCTACTGACTCGACTACATTGGCCTGACCAACACCCTCCTGTTGTGCCGGAATCTCGTCCGGTATAGGCATCTCCTGCCTCCTAGGCCTACCTCGCCTACCACCACGTCATCGTCCTGGCATCCTAATAAAGGTAACGAAGATCATTAGCACATTCATAAATGTGCAAAAGCTACAACACTCGCATCCTAATGCATTGGACAACAGTAATTCATTCCACGTAAGCACATAATCGCATAAGCACTTACGAATTTCATTTCCAGATAATGACAGTCCCGAGGCGTTGCTAGAGTTCAAGTTAGAAACAGCATTGATCAGGTGCTTTTCCAACAGAACTCCCAAAAACCCAAGGATCCAATCAACATCCTAGAAACTAAATCCCATACCCATATAGTCACATAAACATGTTATCAAATAGACATATAACATCATGCATAAGTCTCTAACAAGTGAGATAGACCCATTGTGGTACTAACCACTTCCCGCGTACCCAAAGTATTCGAACCCGGTACGCTCTGATGCCAAGTTGTAACACCCTCAAAATAAACCCATAATTCATACATTCATGACACAAGAAATTGGCTATATATTCAAGAGAATAAAGTATACATCTATTTATCAGAGTATTTATCACAAAAGTATTACATGTTGACAACACAAGTAAATGCCCTACGGGCTTACAACTTTCCAAGCCAACACTTGGTTACAAAAAGGAGAGTACTAACTCATACACATTAAGCCCTCGGCTTGAATTTACATGTAATACACAAAAAGGTAAAGAACAAAAAGGGATCTTCAGCCTCTAAGCCTCCCAAGCTATGTCCTTGGAGGTGGCATATCACCTGAACCTGAAAAAGATGCCCTATATAGGGTGAGCCAATGCCCAGTAGAGATGTACTAAACCAAGTATGAGAAATAACGAAAACAATAGCATTTGATATATGGTTGACACTTATAAACCAACTCACAACACTTTTCAATTCAACATCAAGTACATTCATTTTTCATTTCAGTTTCCTTCACTTATACAGTTTCGATTCATAATTATGGCTCAGAACCTGGCCAAACAATTCAATGAGACTATAACACATATTAAAACACTTCCATACTTCATAATTCACATGAGAATATAGCTCAGATTAAAACACTTCCATATTTCAAGTGATACACAGATTTGCTGTATCAGAGGAGTCCATCCCTTATCTCCTCCTAAACAGAGTTTATCTCCTATCTCCTCTCAAACCATGGAGTACATCTCCTATCTCCTCCCAAACAATATACATATGCAATGTATTTAAACACTTATCATATACAATGATCAATCAATACACACATTTACTGTATTATTCCAACCGTCATATTCAATGACATATTCAACGTGATTAGTTTCAGTTTTCCCTAATCATCATACAATGTCTACAACAATCAAGACTATCCTCCACCGATAGCCCAAAGCAGTTATTTCTAAACAGATAATAAATTTATCAAACAGATAAAATACCAACATTTTCATAGGTGAGTGATTAATTTATCCAACTACACCATTCCATCTTATAATTTCACAATTTCATGATTTTCAACTCAATTTCATAATTCCATACTTTTCCCAAATTAATTATGCAAATTAATTTATCACACTAATTAGGACATTTTTCCTTTTTCTCAAATATTGATCCTAAGACCAAATTTCACCAATTTGACTTACAAACTCATATTTCCAAAGCCTTATATGCACATGGAGCTTTAAAACACAAAACCCCTATTTTATAAATTACAAATCAAACTCTAACTTTCCCAAAATTTTCATAACTCACCACTTAATCAAAATGACTAAAACTTATGTCAAAACCCATAAGATGGAGTAGGGTATCCCTACCTCAAGAGAAGAGACTCAAGGAGATGAAGGTGAAAACTCGAGATGCTCCAAACACCAACTTTTTCGGATTGAAACGAAGCCCACACCAAGCTCCACACTTCTTACAAAGGGATTATGGCAGAAACACACTAGAGCTAGATGGATTTGTAGAGAGAAGGTGTGTAGAGAGAGAAAGAGCAGCCGGATCTAGGGTTTGAAGATAAAAGAGATGAAAAAGTGAAATGTAATCCCGCTGCTGCCAACAGATATATTCGAGGCTCGCTCGAGCGAAGTAATGGTTGCTCGAGCGACCAGACACAAAGAGACCTCGCTCGAGCGCAGAAAGCCTCGCTCGAGCCAACAATTCGAAGCTTCAGGTCTGCAACCCAGAAGCACGCTCGAGCGAAGAAAAGCTCGCTCGAGCCAAGAAATGCAACCTTCAGGTCAAAAAGAGACGCAGACGCAAGCTCGAGCGCCAGCCTTCTCGCTCGAGCCACCAGACACAAAACTCAACTCTCGCTCGAGTGAAGGAACCCTGGTTCGAGCGAAGGAACTAAAACACAAGGCTCGCTCGAGCGACAAAAGTCTCATTCAAGCGAAGACACCAAAATCTGGGCAGCAACCATTTGCTCTCAATCACGGCCAACCTGTTACAAACCTGCCCAACACAACCTAAAACTCAAGTATATAGAATTGAAGGATGGAAACAAGATATATACAACAACCAACACCACGGAACCTAAGTCCAAAATACAACAACCAAAGGCGAGAAAACCGGGATCGCTATACTAACATCATTCAAGTATAATTTCACCTCAAACAAATCAATCTTTGCTTCAAGTTCAAGACCAATGTTTCATTTTTCATAATCTTGAAAGTTCCCAAAACATAATCCACAAACACACTTGATCCTTGCATAAATCTTGTTCTATGGACAATCTAGAATTCATTTCATATGTTATTCACAAGATTGTGCTCCAATCATAAACAAAATCAAAGGACCTAAGTCCTAAGTTCTTAAATTTAGCTCAATTAAATACATAACACAAAACCCTAACCCAAATGGGTTTCAAATCTTCTAATCTCATTATGATTTCATGAAATTGATGAATTAATCATAAGGATTCAAGATAGATTTCCATACCTTAGTTCAATCTTTGCTTTTGCATTAACTCTCTTCAATTTCCCAAACTTTCATGGTTGATCTTCTTCATTTCTCTTAAATCTCTTCAATTTGTGTTTAAAACCCATGAATGATGAGCTCTCTCTCTCTCTCTCTCTCTCTCTTAGAGAAGCTTTCTCTCTCATTTTTCCTCTCTCTCTCTCTCTCCCTCTCTCGGTTCTCTCCCTCTCTCTCAAATATTTTAGACTCCAAGTGATGAGTTCAACTGATATCATATATATATATATATATATATACATTATATACATAAGCTTATCACAATTAGAGAGAGCCAAACGCACCCTTACTAATCGCACGAAATCAAATTTCAATTAAACTTCCCAGATGACTCTAAAAATTATACTGATCATAACTATGTACTCCGTTCTGGTTTCTGAAGCCTCTATGGTCTTTAATTTACAGTGCAAAGTTAACCAACCAAACACACCTTAACAAATTAGACGAAATAAATTTCCAATTAACTTTCCCAAATAGCTCTAAAAATTCCCATTGGCATATCTATGTACTCAATTTTGATTTCTGAACCTATAAAGGTTGGCAATTTCAATTTCAAGGTCGCAACTCAACAGATAATTCCTCAATTCAAGCAGGTATAAATAAATTAAAGCACATTAGCCTATAATTAAATAGAGAAAATTTTTTATATGCATTTTAGGGTCGTTACAGATAGGATATTACCCCCAACAACTTAGACCTTGCCCCGCCTAATCTGTCAGCTCCTCTGCTAGTGCCCGCGAAGTCTAGGAGTTGGGATGACTAATCAAATTATTCTTTAAAAAAGACTTAAAAATTTATTAATTTGTCTCGTTAAGTGATTTGAAGTTTTGATAGATATACATAAAAAAATAGATAATTATATTATTAAATCATAATTCAAATTTAGATATTGTCATATCTTTTTGAGATCCATATCTAAATTATTATCTTCTTTATTTTTGTGTGGTTTCTATTTGTTTTTTTTTTTCAATTTATTTACGATAGAGTTGTGGGTTTCTATTTTTTTTAATTTAATTTATTTATGGTTTCTATTTGTTTTTAATTATTATTATGTTGGTAAGTTATGATGTGAGTTAGATATGTGATAGACATGTGAGTTTTATTGATTTAAAGTATGATAGTGTGAAATATTTTCAAATTAGATTGTGTAGATAGACTTTAAAGATTTTTAAAATTTAAAATTGGATATTGAGACAGAAAAGAAAAATGTTAACTGAATAAATAAAAATCATATTTATTAATTTTACCTGTTTGTATATTTGATTCTTAATTTTTTTTTGTTATGTTATAATATAATATATAAGTAGGTAGATATCAACAACTCTCATGAAAAATATTATCTAATTTTTTTAGGGTGAGATGAAGAAGACAAGTTTTAATATTTTCTTTTGGAAATCGATAAGAGAGATTAGGATGGAGAAATTTTGAAATATTTTTGTTATTTTTTCATTTGAAATCCATAAATTAAGGGATAATTATTATTTCCAAAATAATTAAATAGGTACGTGCGAAGTTGAAAAGGATGTGTTTGAGAGAAGTCAAAAAGACTTAAGAGAAGTCAATAAGTGCTGAGGTTTTTTTTTTTTTTAAATTAGGAAATTAAGATTGAGATATTGAAACTCTCACAAAACTTGTGAATTAAAAATTTTATTTTTTTTATATAATATATAGATAGACAGATAGACAGATAGATAGATATAGACTCCTTGTTTTGATGATTCAAACAAACACACATCACCCAAAATAATAATAATACTAATAATAATAATATTTCTCTTTCAATCCTTTTTGCCTTATCGTTTTCCATTAACTTCCTATGGTTCACGCAATTGACCATGGCCCAGTGGTCCATACATGACCATTTCCTACCACAAAATGGTGATCTCATTTAGATAAAATTCCCACCACTACTTAATCGGTTGAAATTAGTAATATGTCATATTGGAAATTTATTATGGAGTTTCTTAATCTCCTTTGATATACTCAATATTAAAATAAAATTAAAAATCAAAAGTAGAGTTTAGCATCGAGAAGAAATTCGTTTTGAATTTAAATTTTTTATAATCTTTGCAGCCCTGCAAGCAATCAACTAATTAATATGACTCAAATCACAATTTAAGGAGAAAAGTGAAGAGGGAGATATTCTTAAACTTGCCATGTTATCACTTGACAGGTTGTCAAAATATACAATTTGTTAAACAGTGGGTTTAGGTGTACATACACCAAACACAGAATGAGACACATATGTTTCATATGGGGTGAGTCTTACATGTACCCCACATCATGTGGACCCCACACCATGGAGAAGGTTTTTTTGGGAAGATGGAGGCCTAAGCCAAGGAACAAACTAAGAAACTCTCCAATCAGGCGTCTTCTGAACAAGAAGCTGTTTCAGACTTGATGACGGCACATCCACTATTATCAACTGTGCATCCCCTTGAATGGCCTCCCTAACTATTTGATTTGCACATCCATTTATCTCCCAAGCAATATAGCTAAGTCTACATTCCCAATTTTTGTCCACGAAGACCCTCTGAATTGGCAAGACCAGATTATTGGTTGGTCTTAGAATATTACTCCACACCATTCATTGAAGGACAAGTGTCCAGTTGTCAACTAGAAAGAGACAAAATAAAAAAAAAAATGGTGATCTCACTATTTCAACCAATAAAAATCAAGTTGGAGTACCATATCAGCATGCCCTAGGAGCAATGAATAATTTTCCTACACTTTATGTTCCTAGTATTCAATCTTCAATTTTTTAATTATTTCATTTTGGTCTCTAAATTATGGAATCTATTACACTTAGTTCCTAATGTCAATGTCATTCAAAATTAGTAGGGGTACTTTTGAAATTTTATATGAAATCTGAATAAAAATTAAAATCACCATATACGCACACGATCTCAAAATAGTTGGTTTCTGTTCAGGGAAGAAGTGTGGATGACTATAGCTAATGGTTTCTCTTTTCCACATACTATTCAAAGTTAAATTTTCCTATAAATATCCCCTCAAACAAGCCTCATTTCCCATCAATTACTTGTGAAATCTTTGTATTCTAGACCAAAAGCCAAGATGGTGGTGTGTAACCTTTCATTAGCTTTGGTATGTTTCATGAGCTTAGTCTTGGTTCATCCCTCCTATGCCCAAAACTCACAACAAGACTACCTCAATGCCCACAATGCAGCTCGTGCCCAAGTGGGTGTTGGACCTATGACATGGGACAACAACGTTGCTGCCTATGCACAAAGGTATGCTAGTTCGAGGATGGGTGATTGCAATCTCGTCCACTCCGGTGGGCCTTATGGGGAGAACCTTGCTGAGGGCAGTGGTTCATTTACAGGCACTGACGGAGTGAACCTTTGGGTGGGAGAGAAGCCTTACTATGACTACAACTCCAACTCATGTGTTGGGGGAAAAGAATGCAGGCATTATACCCAGGTGGTATGGAGAAACTCAGTTCGCCTTGGGTGCGCTAGGGTTCAGTGTACCAATAACGGTTGGTGGTTTGTGATTTGCAGCTATGATCCCCCAGGCAACTATATTGGACAACGTCCTTATTAGAGATTGGTGTACTTAATAATTGTATGCATGCTATTTATATATATTACCAGCATACATTTATAAATAAGCTAAAAATGATTAGCACAAAAATAAAACTAAGATGGGGAGGTATGTTCCTATGTCATGGTTATGAGTTAAAATAAGTGTAATTTTGGCTCTGTGATTTGTTCTCTTTAATTGTTTGATTTTTCTTTTGTTAAGGAGAGCTTATAATTTCATAATATGTCCTTTTATTGAAATGTTATGGCACTCGTTGTACAAATTTTGTACGTGCATGAACGCCTTTCTGTAATTATTGTAAATCTTTTTTTTTTCTTCGACAAAAAAATTTGGAAGCTAAAAAGGAGATTTGCAACAAAAAATAAATTTCCGGACATTTTCATCCATACCGTCATCATCCAAATTTTATTTATCATTAATAAACTATTTTAAGCATATTGTAAATAGAAATGGATTCTCCCCCTGGGCATGCAAACAATTAGATTAATTTAATGATCGTAACAAAATAATTTAAATCTTTTTAAAAAAAATAACAATCAATATAATTTTGAAATAAGACTAATTTAATTTTTAAAAGATAAACATGATAAAATCATATAGCTAATATTATTAAATCAATTTGATCTATGCACGTGGACTAACAAAACGGACCAATATGATTTTGGTTAATTTTTCGAATAATGTTGTGACAACCTTCTGCATTTGAAAATTGTACAAATTTTTTCTTAGTCACAGACAAATCCTCCTGCTGTTTTTTTTCTTCTTCTTATAATACAAACTAGATTTAGGAGCATGAAAAAAACAATCCTATTTTAATACAAGTAAAGGTGCCAATTAGGGAAATTATTGAAAAGTCCTACTGTATAATTTTATTTTATGACAAATTTTATGAGAAATCTATTAACACGTGTAATTTAACTTATATAGAATGCTAGGAGTTAAAATTCTCTTTCAAAATTTTATTACAATTTAATGGCTTTTTTTTTACTATTGATTTAAATGATATGTATATCATTATGTTTATTGTAGGCACAAATGTTTCCCCTTTTTTTTTTTTTTTGTTGAAATTTTTATAATATTTATATCACATGGTACATTTATATAAGGGTTATTACACCTCAATGGTGTCAGAAACAAATATATATATATATACATGAAAAAGTTTATAATTTTAATTATTAATATGTATAAAATTTCTTATTAATTTGTAATTATTTTTCTAGAACTCTATTGATGTTATATTTTTCATTATATAATGGATGAGATTCACATGATGTGAGATTCACATATGGGACTCACCCTTTGTGAGACGTCTGTGTCCACTCTATATTTAATTTTTTGTGTTTTTAGCATTGGTGTTATGTATGTATCATAAACTTTTCCTTTTTGGTGGAGATAAATGATACCTTTCCTTTTTCATGGAGACTTACATGGTATTATATTGTTATGTTAATTATATTTTATTATATGTCATAGTGTTTTAATTATGTATTATAAATGTTTCCTTTTTGGTGGAGATAAATGATTCCTTTCCTTTTTTATGGAGACTTTCATGGTATTATATTATCATGTTAATTATATTTTATTATATGTCATGGTGTTTTAATAATTTTATTGAATGAAAATGTGAAATTTCATA